GGGGAAGCGGCTTTCCGCCCTCGGAGGCCTCGGAGTCCCACCTCGGGGGCCATTCAGTCCCGACAGACAGGAGAACTGCTTTGTTTTTTCCGTGAGACACCACAAGAGCAAAGGTCTGCGCCCCTCAGAGTTCCGTTGCGTTTCCTGCAGCCAGCTGTATGCTGCCCTAGGCCCTTCTTGCCGCAGAAAGGCCCGCTCCTGTTGAGGGCCAGGCCGCCCACTGCCCCTCAGCCGCGGTTGAGCAGCAGTTCCCGCTGCAAGCTGAGCCCTCACCGTGTGGCTTCCACATGGCTCAGCAGGGTTAGCGAGCAGAGGTGAGTAAGCACACGGCAGTAACCGAGATGAGTGTGCTTGATGGCACTTCGTGAACTTTACACAAAACCCCTATGTCCTGACTGAGATTTTAAGTTGTCTTAGAATTGCAGTTGGGATGTGGAGGGTACCCTCCGGTGGCCGTGATTTGATTTATCTGGGGTTTGGAGATTAGGTGTAGTTGGCGTTGTTAATTTACAGTCTTAAAATTTTCTGTATGAATCGAGATTTGGATCTTACAAGTTGTATAAACTCTATTGCTGTCTTTTTTTGAAAAGTATATGTATACTGCTGTAACTTTGTGAACAGCTATTGTTTTGAGACCACAGAGCTTTTCCTGTGCCATTAGAGCAGCATATCTCTTGTCAGTATCAATAATGAAAGTGCTTCGGGGTGTCATAGTTGAACACCACAGTGCCATAAGCCATTATACTGAAAAGAATCAGTTTGCAGGCTGGGAATGCATGTCAAATTACAGGGCCTCTCGCCTGCTTTGCTTCTTGAGGAAACTTGATAATAGTAGGGATTAGTCTGAGATGTAGGGTATATTTGCTTTATCTCAGAGATACTTAAAAGCAAATTCCAGTATAAAATTTGTGTGCATATTAGATTTTGTGTTTATTTGAATGGACATCCCTGACCTTTCAAAAGTTAGAGCTGATTGGCGGGGGAGGGGAAGGTATCAGCATGCACGAGTATTTAATTTTACTAGAAAATAACAACTACGTTTTCTGGGATTAATTTTAAATTTTTATTGGAAAGTTAGCTGAGTGTTTTGGTTTTGTTATTTTTCAATTAAATTACACTTGGTTTTATTTAAACACTTAATTTTGGATCACATCTCAGGAATTATTGTTTGTTTGTTTTTGTTAAAACATGACTGTTTTGTTACATCATTTCACAAGTGTGATCCCTGACATGAAAAAGTAAACCTAAATTAGCTGAAAGTAAATACTGAGAAAGTCTTTTTTCATTTTAAATGATGCAGCACAGAGTACAAAAGGCAGTTTATAACTACTGCAGGCTGTGCAAGCTCCTGACTGGGGTCTGCTTTGAAGACCAGAGGGGACCCTGAGTGATATAGTCAGAAGGGTTTCACTAAAACGGTGACTATGAACCTCTGCACACAGCAATACTAATTCTGTTTGGATCGGGTATGGGCATACAGTCATGTTTCTGATACATTAGTCAGAGCACACAGTGAAAACATTATGCCAGCTGCAGAGAGTGAGACAACATCTGTCCTGAAGAAAGTCTGAAAAAAGTCCATCAATGTTATTAAATAAATACAAACTTGCAGAATGAGTCTAGACTGGGTCAGCGCTTACTATCTGGTATACGGAGTACCAAAGCTGTGTTTTAGCTCTTGAGACTAGTTTTTCAGCTGCAAGCCTAGCTCCTGGAAGATTTCTTTTATCTCACAAAGTTCTGTCAACAGGGATTTCATTCAGGTAGTTTGGTTTGCCCACACACAATAAATTTCAGGACAGAGATCTAAATTTGTACAATTCACTTTTCTCTTATGGATTTCTGTCCTGTAGACATTTAATTCATTGTCAATAGTCATGCTGAAGACTAATGGGACTGCTCATCCAGGTAAATAGCGTCTACCAGTATTTTCACAAGCTTTTAGACACTGATCCTACCAATAGAAAAAAAATATAATTCTGCACAAGTTAAGTGAGTGGGACAACTTATCTTAGTAAGATGGTGAATGTGCATATATGTGCATTAACGATACAGATCTCAAGTTCTTTCTAGCTGTTTATCGCATGCTCTCCTGAAATCTGTTTGGAGTTCTTAGTGCTATAACAACTGAATCAGATGATTTTATTATGCTTTCTGTTATAGGAAATACCTTCTTTGGTGAGTATTTTTTGCTAAATAGGATCATAGAGAATCATTTCCAATAAATTAGTTGACAGTATATTGGATTTTTATTTAACAGCTACAACATATTTTCTGTTTCAGCTAACCATGTCTTTAAATTCATCTGCACTTTTAAATGAAGAAAACTCTCAAGGACCAAAAAGAAATACTGAATGTTTGGAAAGTCTAGAATTGCAGACTGCATCATCGTTTCAAGATAACCCACTTCAACAATTAAAGTTAGCATCGCAGGAAGTACTTGAAAAGGCAAAAAAGAGTGGGAGATCAAAATGCCCCCGATGCAGTAGTTCAAGGATGTTTTATTGTTATACATGCTTTGTTCCTGTTGAAACTGTTCCTACCAAAGAAATTCCAGCTGTGAAGGTTAATATTTCTTACGGATTTTTTATAATATTCTTGTGCCTTTTCGTTACAAAGAACAGACAGTCTGTCTGTGACCATTTCTTTTCTGACTCATTCTTTACAGACATTCATCTTTAACACAGCTATAAGTATGAATAAACTACAGTTAGATAAAATTCTTGTTCTTATTTAAGGAATTATATGTACAAACACTGACAATGTTCCAGTCCTCACATAAACATTTATGTATCTACTAGATGAGAAGATAAGCTGACGTCACTCACCTTCTCATGCAAATTACTATGTTTTCATTTAGTTCTTACAAGTTTCTTTACAGTGCTCTCACCTTCATTCTTCAGTTTCTAAGAACTCTGGCCAGAACAGAGTGTATTGTGAACAAAAAACACTATTTGTCCATAACCAAGAGTGAATTTTACATAAAATGTGAGCTAAAAGGCATTCCTAATTGTCATGGTTGTATAATTCAGATAACCAATCTTAAAATATAAATAAAGAATAAAAAGTGTAATGCCCTTCAGCTAAAATACTTGGAGAAACCATCAAAGAGAACTGAGAGACATTTTGCAAGATCACCTAGGAACTAAAATGCATTTTGAAGACACTGTACTTTGAAAGCATCGTGAAAATAGTTTAGAAGTACTTTGGAAATTCGACCTAGTGGATTTAGGTGTATTTTCATTGAAATGGCCATTTTTGCAATAGGGTGAATACCTAATACAGATAACTATTCATATTGAGGACCATTATATTGCTCGAATTAAGACCGTATCTTATTTACCTTATTGATACTACTTCTGGAGGTTTTACCACACTACTACTACAGCATTCCAAATTGCATTCATTGCATACTTAGGTATGTACATGAACTGAGCGAATGTAACAGGTGCTTCTTGTCACTTGTCTCTAGTTTAGTTTTAAACCTATTAAAACAAAAACATTGTCAAAAATTGTCAAATAGTCTTAATTACATGCCCATAGGGATTTCTCCTGGATTTTGCATAAATTTTTCTACAAATTTTTGTACCTATTTTTTTATATAGAATCATAAATATTGCTTATTTCTTTTTTTTTCTTTCTTACTGTAGTTACCTTTGAAGATTGACATTATTAAACACCCAAATGAAACAGATGGCAAAAGCACTGCTGTGCATGCTAAGCTTCTGGCACCTGATGATGTTACAATTTATAAATACCCGTGCATTCCAGAATATGAAGAAAAAAGACATGAAGTAAGAAATTTTATATACATAGCAGGGCATTGTGCTGGGGAGATGCAGAGGTATCTTCTGTACTTCCTCCTGCAGTGGTACTGCACTCTGCTGGGAGGGAGCGGGAGGAAAGCACTATTCTGTTAATCCAGTCCACTCCACCTTGAGCTCTCTCAAAGCTTGGGCCTACAAATGTACAGTGGTTATGGACTGTCCTCCAAAGCTTGGAAAAACTGTAGCACTATCTAACTACCTTGAATTTCCTATGTTCACCACCTTAGATAATGGATAATTTGATTCATTGCATACCATAAGTATTTTGCCCAAACATATGAAAGTATTCAACTTACAGCAAGTTAAACAGCCGTTAGGTGTTGTGCTCATCATATTCAGCAGCTGCAGTGTTTAAACTTCCTTAAAATTTTTAACATTCACTACTACAGAGAAAACCTACTGAAATGCAACTATTGTCTATCATAGTCAGCACAGAGCCTGAAAAAAGTGAGCTATGAACTTGGATTTATATGCTCATTTAAATGGTGTGATTAATCTGAAATCTAATATTTACACATTTGATGTCATAATTAACACTCTCATTATTGTTTGACTATATGAAGAAGAGGATAATATACATATCTCATGAGCTATTAAGGAAAGCATAGGTGGCATAGAGGCAAGAAGCTGAAAAAAAGCAGAAAGAACAATGGGGAAGGCAGGCAAAAGTGGGAAGAGATTGCAGTGACTTTGTATTGTCCAGGCTTTCCAAGTCACAGATTCTGAACATTGCAATAAGCTACTGAAAAAAAAGTAAGTAAGGCCATCATTGGTCGTCTTCATGTAAGGTACTTGTGGCGCCTGCAATAGACACAAGGGCAGAAGAGATTATTTCTTCTGATAAAAAATTTGTGAATGAAATTAGAAACTGTTCTTTATGGCCTTCCTACCCGGTATACTGCAATGACGAGTGAAATTTGAACTTCCTCAGGGCTGACACCATTGTCTTGGCTGAAAAAACCTTTTTTTTACAGAAGTATTAGAGTTGGTAGTCGAGGCATGGAGGTGACATTTAATGAAAGAACTTTAATAAGTGTCTTTCATCATTATTTTAACATAGTCTTTTATCCTTTTAGACAATAGAGTATTTTTTAAGAGGTACTCTTTCATCTTCCCTGGACTTAAATGTTTGTGGGTGGGGATAGAAATTTTCTGTTCTTTAATGAAACAAAAAAAAAGAGTTTGTTGACACTCAGATTTCTTTCTTTTCTTCATTTAGATAGCACTTATATTTCCTGGCCCCAATTCAGTTTCAGTAAAAGATATTGCTTTCCATCTCCAAAAATACACTAAGAAAGATGTTTATGATAATGACGATGACTGTTCCAGAGAGCCATTTCTTAAGCAAGCAAAAGTAGAACCTAAAGAAGAAGAAAAAAATCTAAATGAATGCATCTCAAGCAAGAGGAGTGAAGGCACTAGACTGAAGAAAATAATATTTATTGACAGTACCTGGAATCAAACTAACAAAATAATAACTGATGAACGACTTCAAGGTAAAAAAAAAAAGTTGATATTGAGATGTTATTGCTACAGAAATGATTAAGGGAAATATATGTCTATATAACATACCTGAGCATGATATAAGTGTATACCTAACTCTATATCTGGGTATACGTGAAAGATTCAACAGCCTATTTCAACAGCCAGTCTTCTGCTGTAGAAGACTTCTGAGCCAAAGACTCCATTACTTTTCATGTCATATAATCTGTTTTGCAAAATGATAAGACTAGTATTAAAAAAGCATTTACATTTATTTCTCCCACTTCTCTATTGGAAAAAATTTCCTCAGTCTCACAGAATGGAAGCTGTCATGTTAGACAATAGAAGAACAGTAGTTTGAATGACCTCTGAAGGAAGCCAAAAAGATTTCCTTTGCAGGTGGCTATCTGCTTTTTCAAAAGACCCAAGGGAGAATTTTTGTACATGCTAGTGGCAGACAGACCACTAGAAGGTGAAAGAGGGATCTAGGAGATACAGCGCAAGTATGTCATGGCTTGGTTTCTTTTTCTAGTAAAGTTCTTTGTTTCATGGTCATTTCAGTGACCTCACTACTTTGCAGACAAAAAGGGAATGGCTGCTTGCCCTCCACACCCTCCCATCTCTGAAAGCAAAAACTTGTAATTCTGCAAAGGTTTTTTGTCTTAGGTTCATTACAAGAAGTTTACAGTTAAGTATTCTAAATAAAACCACAAAAGATAAAACAATTTAGCAATAGCATCCATTTCCTTTGAGATAAATAGGAGTTTGAAAATACTTTGATTAGTGAAAAAGGTGCACTAAGCTGGGAGGCAGGCTATCAAGTTTACATGTAATATGTATAACTGTTTACTAGTGCCTGCTTTGCATTGGACCCTACAAGGAATTTCACAGACTTCTTACATGCAAGATTAATGTTGCCTTGCTGTCTAGTGGGTTTATTAAAGAATCCCACATGTTAGTATAATGTATTGGCTAATTAAAATCCTGTTACTAAGTATTTAGTTTAACACAAAACATACTCTATCAAATAAATTGAAGTATTACTGTAAAGATTAGAGTAATTGCATGTTGCAAGTTACTGTAAAGCATTTGGAACTTATTTTAAAAGGATGAATTTAAGAAAAGTAACAGGCAGCCAGGGGAACTAAGATTTCTGTGGAAGCTTACGCAGTATATCAGTCAAAAATTCGTCATTTTTGTTACTTTGGAGCTCCTAAAGATTGGTTTCCAGTTACCCCATGTGAATGCTGATCTGGTGGACTCTTCCCTCCTTTCTAGAACTTCATCTCAGTTCCAGCTGTATTCCAGTCCTCTGTTTCCCTGAGCACCTTTCAGGATTGCTGTAAGGTGTGACTAGTGTCATGCAAGTGAGTCTCTCTTATCCACACCCAGGGGAGAATTTTACCCTCCATACAGCAGGTATAACGGTGTGCACAACCCGTGCATTCATTGCTTTCCTTAGTGCCTGTCATAAAGGACATAAGTTGCATTAATACTCCTTTTAGAGATTGCAATTTTGCCTTCCCAGATGAATGGGGCAGAGTTTCTTTAGGCATAAACTGATGAAATTTTTATGTTGTACACACATGAAAAATAGAGAACTGTTGTCATTTTTCAGTTCAACTACAAATGAAGTCATCATCCTAGAAAATATTCCTCATACATTAAAGTTCAAAAAGGAGTGTTCATAATTCCAAATAAAAAGTAATTGCTGTACTTATTCAGAAAGATGGAGTTACAAGAAATACTGGATGGAAACATTAGCAAAGCCAAGAAAATGTAAAGAAAAGGCTTGTGTTTTGTAAGCCTGCATTTAAAAACAGAGTAAATCTAGCTAATTGTACTGCAAGAGAAAGCAAATGACTACATCAATCTTAAAAAAAAAAACACCTAGAAAACTTGGACAAAAGAATAGTTCTATATCTTGGAAAAATGGTGTAATACATCTTTAGAAAGCAAAATTAAATGAGTTGTATTAAAGACAGGAAATATTTGAAAGTTGGTAATGTCTAGGATTGATTACTTCATTAAAAGTGATCGCTAGATCAGGAAGGAAACAGTTGCATCTAATGTTAACGATTACTTTCTCATATGAATGATGAAGCTTATTGGCAACATCAACATGGTTGTTAAACAGATTGCTTTGGTATTTTTTCCTATAAGTTTGATCCACTTTGTATTAGCCAAATGTCTTATTTTATTAGCTTATACATTCTCTTGTACAAGGCTGAATCATACATCTGCTTTAGTAGTTTGGGGTTTTTTAAGTTTCTGTGCTTGCTTTCATTTCAGCAAGAAAATGGTAGCCTTTGCCTATGCACAGCTAGGATATTTGAGAGCAGTAAGTTAATATTTTCTGAGGCAAACTCCCCTCATCCTCTTTTTCTGACAAATCTCTTGTCCTCTTTTCACATTTTCATCTTTCTTCTTCCCTCAAAATCACACGCAGGGGTGTGATGCAAAGAAAAAGTGGGAGTTCTGTCATGAGTTTCCACATTCTTTCTAAAACAACATATGCTGACATGATTCAGGGGGCCATAGTAGAGGCCAGGTGAATCCAAAGTATGTAAACCCCTTCTTCCTCAGCCTAAATCCTTAAATTACTCATAAACCTTGGGAATCTAAAAGATTAGGAAAGGAGCAGAATTCCTGCCTGAAATAGCATTTTCAAGCTGTTAGCTCTTTAGGAAATTAACAGTATAATTAAAATAACAATAGGCACATTAGTAAGAGCTTAGACTCTTACTAGCTACCATAGGTACAAACCATAATTAGTCATTACTTAAAATTTTCAGGACTGGTATTTCTTGAACTAGTGAATCTTCCAGTTCACTGTACAAACTATAGGGACGAGGAGGTGATAGAAGGCTCAGAGTAAGCAACAGGCTTCAGCATGTCTGTAACCTTTACAACTTACATACATCTTGTTGGTAAGAACTTAGAATCTCTCTTAGATGTAACATCAGTGACCAAACATGATTAATATAGGATCCTAGAGGTTTGAGCATTTGATTATTATAGTGGAGGGAGCACAGGGACTATGCTGTGATAATAGGATGTAGCATAGTAGGAAAAACTGGAGTCTTAAGGAAAGGTGGGAGATCTCTCTGAAAGGTATTGTCTGCCATAAGACACAGATACAGGAGAATAACTTTTGTAAGGGAAATTTGGTTACATTACCTAAGTAGATCTAAAGGTAGCTATATTTCCATTTCGCTCGATCTCAGGTGCATAGAAACATTTATTTCTAATGAGCTGAAAGTATGTGGATGCTAAAAAAGCAAAACCAACATGTTGATCTCCTTAGTATTGTAAGCTTTCATATGAACAATTAGTATTTGTAATAAAATATTGCCTTTGGCTGTATAGATACAAATACAGTACAGATCATAGAAACATGCTTAGTAAACTGTAACCCTTAACCCCCTCTAATTTTTTTTGTTACAAAACTCCTAAAATTCTGTGTTTGAAATTAACTGATCCTGCATTTGTGGTAAGTTCAGTAGTGTCAGTGGTTTTGCCTTCAATGAACTTTTGTTTCTATTCAAACCACAAACAGGTGGGAGTTTACATTGGAGGAATCATCCCCTAAATTTAGTTCACTGCTGTTAAAGTGGAAACATTGCTGAATTTGATGAAAGTTTTCACTTTGGCTAGGGCTGAGAATTTGAGTATTGAAACCTCTTGAGGGAAACAAGCTTAATGCAGTTTCCTATTACCATTTTGAATAGACATGTATAGGATTATTAGAGGTAATAATTAGACTACATTATTTTGAATTTTCAGGTCCGAAATGCCAACACAATAACATATAAATTCAGTGATGGAATCTCCTGTTGTTCATTTTTTTAAAAAATGCTGTAGGAGAGATTTCTTTTACTATGCAAGATATACATTACTAACTGCAAAGCAAACAACTAAATCCATCTTGCAATTACACTAGAAAGAATTAAACGTAGTTTGAAGGTAAAACTATAGAATTACAAGTGCAGGGCTGTAGGCCAGTTGGCACTCCTGAATTTGGGCCTTACGGAAACGTCTCTGTCTATAACTTCCAAGCAATTCTTCAACCATATTGTTATTTATACTATTGCTTGTACTAAACTGTTCCATGACACACACTTAGTATCTGATTTTAGAAATTTAGATAGATAGAAAGAAAAGATAGATAGAAATTTAGAAAAAGATCATTTTACAACCTGATCGTGGTATTGACAGGTGTATACGCTATTCTTTATAATCCAACTGTCCATCCTGTTTACAAAGTGATTACACATTAAGGTGTTTTTAATTTTGAGTAGTTTGTGCATCTTAAGGAACATAAAAATCAAGATAACGTGTTTAAAATTCATCTGAATAATAAAACAGCTACAGAGACTATAGTAGATAAAAGATTTTCTTATGCCATACAGAGACCAAATTTATTTCTTTCATCTCAAGTGGGAATGCTTTTAGTTTCTAATAAAATTAATGACCAGATTCTGTTTTACTTAGTCCTGAGTAATCCCAGTGAGATTCCAGTTACCTAACAAGCATAAATGAAAAGTGTCTGGTTCTTAGCAAATACTCCTCAGTTCAGCAAAACTAACAGTCTGAGGGATTCTGTTTTACACTTGAAGGGTGTTAGCTTTGCAAAAGATGAAGTTTGAGTAATCATTTTATGAACATTGATGGGTCTTTGTAGCTATGGGTTTCACTCTTCCCATCTGAACAGAGCCTGCAGTTTACTGAGGGCTGTGAGGCTGTATGAATGAAGGGATAACCTATAAATTTTAATTGCAAATACGGGGATTGTAACCTAGAACTTACAGCACTTTTTCATCAAATTTCAAAGTGGTCCACAAAGGAGGATAAAATTATTGTCTCCATTTTACCGATGAAAAATGGAGGTACAGGAAGAGAAATTATTTGCATGCAAGCATCTAGCAGGCTAGCAGCAAAGTCAGAAAACAAAACTAAAGACTTTTTTGGCATCCCATCCACCAATCCACACTAATTTATCAGGTTTTTTTCTTGACAGGGTTGCTGCAAATTGAGTTGAAGACAAGGAAAACTTGCTTTTGGCGTCATCAGAAGGGAAAGCCAGATACATACCTTTCCACAATAGAAGCAATTTATTATTTTCTTGTGGACTATCATCAGGAGATTTTGAAAGAGAACTACAAAGGACAATATGATAATCTGCTTTTTTTCTTTTCATTTATGTACACATTGATTAAAAATGCCAAGTGTTGTGCAGGAAAAGAGTAAGATGTCTGTCTATAGGTAAGTAACAGTACATTTTACTTTGTTTCTTTTGTAATGATAAAGTGCACAAATGTAACTATATTTATCTAACTGAAATCTGGAAATAGATTGTGCTTTTAATAATAGCTACAGTGTTTGTCTAAAAGTAAGCTGCAGACCTTATGTCCTGCACATTTGAGGTTGTAGAACTACTCAGATGAGCAGTCTGATTAGAATTACTTATTTGAAAACAGTTATGCCTTCTTAAATACTGCTGGGTTTGAACCTACAGACCTGCTATACTCACCACAGTGAGATTATTTCCTGAGGTGCGGATAGGAGAACTTGGCCCCTCTTACCATAAGGAGTGATCTCTCTTAACTGGAAAAAGGAATTAGCATGCTAGCTTTTTATTATTATTGTTAATACTTTGTTTCAGGTGTTTTCTTTGTGTTTTACCCAGTAATACTGATTTCACTTTCATGACATCAAAAACTTACTGAAATTATTAGGATGGTATTTAATTTGGGGGAAGAGGGATGCCAATACAAAACGAAAGACTGCATTAATTAAGTGAATAGAATATAAATTATGTAGTTTCAAGATTAATTCTGGAAAATTGTCATAGTAATAGAAAAGAGCGATCACTTTAAACATCATTATACAATGCATGATTTCTATAGTAACATTCACATACTGTTATATTAAGATTATTCTCAATTTCTTGGATAATTTTAGACTTCAAAAATTAATTTAGTTAAGTGTTTATTATTATTATTATATAATATCACTATTATTTTTGGGAACATTAACTTAACAAATGTCCCTATGGCATATCATAGACAGTAAAATTTTGTAGATGCCACGTACTTGTATTCTAAGCAGCAGAAAGGGCTTACTGCATTGTAGGAGTTGTCTGAAAATGTAGATCTTTTTGCAGGACCTAAGACAAAGCAATTTGCAGAGACAAGAAACAGGGAAGATGGTGGTTCCGACCACAACATTTCTGACAAGATTTCCTTAAATTAGGCAGACTATGAATCTGCTGTGTTTTTTCTTTTGCAGTAATAGTGCAAATTTGAACAGCATAAATAAGACTTTTTCTATGCTGATGAAATTTTTGCTGGTATGTGTAGCACTGCTGGCAGAGTCATCACATGTGAATGTAATTATACAAGTGTCTTTGCCAAGCTATACCATACAGCTAATGCTGGCAGAGGTAATAGACCTAGGTTATATCTTTACAAGCGGAGTTATACAAATATATTTTTATCATACTAGGATGTTCTGCCAGAAAAATTCATCTTAGTAAAAATTATAGTCTTAAGGTAGAAAAACATGTTTCAATAGATTAGTACAATATAAGATGGATAAATATTTCTGAATACACTCAGAAGTGTGTTACTTAAGAAAAAACTAAGTCTTGTTGAAGTAACACAGATCGAAAAATTATAATAGATTATTTTTTAAACAAAAATTCCGAAGTTTTTGTTGTATATTTTCCTCAACAAATCTGGCTAAATTATCACCTGTAGCATACTCTCCAGGAAGGCACTCTCACAGCCTGGTGAATACAGAAACAGTGCTCTGAAAAATACTTCAAGAAAATCTTTTTATGTTTACACAGCAATCCATACAGGCTCAAACAACTGATTTGTACTATGGTTTTTAATGCTTCGAGATATTGAAATCAAAGTTAACATTGCTTAAAACACAAGACACAAATACACTATCTCTGCAAGTCATAGTTATCTTCAGATTTGTATGTTATCTGCACAAGTGAACGCATATAAAAATGCATTGCAGTGGACAACCAAAGCACATCTCCCCCATGTGCAAAAAGAAATGCTAGTTAAGTTACGTGAGTGCACATGAAGTGTGCATGAACTATAACAGCACCTCGAGAAACACAGGCTTGAAGTCAGAATAAGAAAGATTGGTTTTAGATATACATATATAATGGCACAGCTGTTAAGTATATTGTGAGTTCATGTGCCAGGCAGTGAGAAAAATCAGCAGTCATGTCTCAGTGCTATTGAAACAACACATTTCTTATTCATTTGGTTCTTACTGCTATTGAGAGGTTATTTTGGCTTTTTACAATGATTAATGCTATTTCCTTTGGTATGAATTTTGATAGTCTTTTGACATTTCCATCTGTTCTTGTATTTCTTAAACAAAGATTGCTGTAATATTTTCTAAAAATCACACAAGTATAATAGCTTGAGAAGGAAACTTTCACCCACTTTAAACAAACAAAAATAAAATGAACCCACTGACCTAATGTTTTACAAGAACCAGAGAGAAAAATCGGGGCGGGGGGGGGGGGAGGGGGGGGAAGGGGGAGTTACTTCCAAGACACATTTCCCTGAAAACATGTTTTTTTATTTAAGAAGCAGAGGTCAGATAAAAGCTTATATAAGCTGTTCTTTGTTACTTTGGAAAATAGTTTCATAAGGTTAAAAATGGTTTCCAAATTTAAGTTTTGTGTACCTCACTTTATTTGAACAATGGGAATTAGGAATCTATTCCACAAGTAAATTAATTTTAATTCTCAGGTGAAATCAATGTACAGAAAAGATTTTAAATCTGGAACGCTGTGTCCAGGAATTGGGTTCAGATTCTTTTTCTTCCAGTGCAACCTCAGTGTAATGCAAGAGTCTTTCTTATACCAAGTGACAGAAGCACATCTAATACCCGTAATTAATTATGGTCTGTTGATATTCCTGTGATAACCTTTTATGAGGGCAGGAAGGAGGTTATTGTCACTTCTGCTGCAAATCTGTTTTGTCTGAGCAGCAGATGTAGTTCCCCCTTCTCTCCGATCTCCTGCTCTCCCCTCTGTAAAAAGATTTAAATCCTCTATTTAATTTCAGAAGCCAAACCAACCAAGTTATCCACCTCTCAATACCGCTGATACATTTTTCCAGCTTTGAGACTAAAGAATAGTTTTGTTCCACCAAATGAAAGCGATCAAGTGGTTAATCCTTTCAAGTGCAATTAGCAGCACTGATCTCACTGTTCTTTAAAATGAGGGTCATGGGGAGGTAAAGGCCAGTTCTGGGCCTTTTCTTTTGTATCAGAATGCCCCTTCACTATCTCTTCTGTTTCCAAAAACATCAGAGAGCAAGGGGGAAAACAGGCTTCTACTTCCATTAGCAGTAACTTAAACAGCCATAAGTTAAAGGGGGAGGAAAAGGAAGAGCATCTCTATCTATCTCCTTTCACAACAGAAGACATCTGGCCTCCTGTGGGGAGGCCCCAGATAACAAAGAACCTGTCATTACAGACCTCCGAGATGTGTTCAGAGAGCCATTTTACCTGCATGGTTCATGCATTTCCTGCCACTGAAGCCATCTGCTTTTGCTTATTGTGGGTATTTTTGGTCTTTGTTTGGCCAGGAGTATGAAGTGGCTTCACTTTAGCATGCCTGTATGCTTCGTCAGAGGGAGGATTTAATCCTTTTCTCAAAATGAATAAGAGAGGGAGCTGCAAAAAACAATGCCTTTCCTGGAAGGTAGCACAAAAGTCATCCAAGCCTAGGTTGAATAAAGGGTCATATTGGTGCATGGGGTAAAGATACATTGAGACTGAAAGGAGATGGCAACTTGGAATCTACAGCAGAAGCTTCCAAAGCACTTGTAATCTCACCTGAATTAAACCCTTTGCTACTGCTTCTTGCAATTTCTTGTCAGCTTCAGTCCATCTGGTTTTCCACATAGGCTTTTTCGGCCCCAATTGCAGAGTAATGTAGTGATCTGTTCTTGCTTTTCTCTTGCACTGAGTTTCAGTATTTTGCCTGAATGCTTTAAAAATCAGTCTGTCTTCATAAATGATGGTCTTAGCATACTTATATAAAATGTAATGTGATGAGAAAATCCATTCCACCTATCCCTATCTTTGAAAATACCAAAATAAGGAGGGGGAAAACTTCTTATTCGTTTCCCATCATTTACTATAATGCAGTTATGACACTCCCAGGTACCACTGACTTGTGTCTCGAAGTATTCCAAAAAGCTGTGCATCAGCTGAATTAATCAAACTTGTTTTGCGACACAAAACTTAACGGTGACTGCAGCAATGTTAAAACAGGAAAGCTTTCCCACTAAGATGAAAAGATCATGTGGCAGTAAGACACTGGTCTATTGATACGAGAATATGAGGTCACCCATTGAGGTACTGAACGACTCAACATAATTCCTGAACTGTTATCCCTTGTCTTGAGAGACATTATTTTAGTAAAATTCCAATGCTGTCATTAGTAAGAATGTTGATTTTGACTGGTGACACTTAGTAATACCAACATTCAAAGTAAGTGTTTATATGAAAAATTTACAACATTCTTCCTGTTCACTTGTTGGGAAAGATAACACATTGCTGCCAGTTTATGGATTCTGAAGAGAAATCAGGTGCTGTAGAATTTTGAAAGTAGTGTATCATATTAAACTTTAAAAACACTCGTAGTGGTGTGGTTTCTTTATCACTACCTGCCAGAAAAAAAAATTTAAATAGTTCTCAAGTCCCACAGCAAGAGGTAGGAACTAATTCTCTAATGCAAAACAGACTTTGTATTTTCACCTCACTGAAAATGAAAATTTTTGTCTAACTTTAGCAATACTGGTGCTGTTATCACATTCAAATCAACTATGATTTTACTGCTAACTTTTCAGACCACTGGTGTTGCAATAGGATGTTTAGAAACATACCACAGAAGAGTGAACAGAAGAGAATGCTCCACACCAGTATACCCAAGATTGAGTCCTACGCGACCTATGATCCTGTGCGCTTCACTTCCCTGACCTGTAAAGTTAATTCCTGCCTCTGAGTAACATGTCTCTGAATAACATGTGAAGCTGCACCCATAAGCCAATTGAACTCAGCATGAAATCTAAAGGCTGAGTATTATTACTTCTGATGGTAAAATTTCTGCTTTTTTAACAACAGCGATAGAAGAGCTATACAGAAGTATGTGTACATGTGTAAATATGAATAAATATATACCTCCCTCCTAGCAATAAATGCATCAGGACACAAGCCAAAGATTTTCTCCTATGCTGTTTCTGTCTTAGGGAACATAAAGAC